GCCGGTCATCCAGTTGCCCGTGCCCTTGTTTTCTTCATTTTGTTTGGGAAGAGTTCCCCCGACCAAAAAAGGAGGCTTCTTTTTTCCCATGGCCACTGGGCATCTGAGGTCAGAAAATTGCCTTTACTGGCTGAGGATCCGGTTGCACCTCAGGTTGAAGCTGGCGAGCATGGTGCCATACTCACAAGTTCCTGGTGAGCACGATGGAGGGCAACTCACCGTGGTGATGGCACAACACTTCGACAAGTACGGCTGTTTGCTTGCTGGTGCTCAGTAGGGAATGCGGGAATGACACCTTACAAGCCATCCCTAATTCTGGGTGAACTACCCTCCCACCAATTATCATGGAACCTGGGGTCCTGGAAGACCATTTTTCTTCTGAAGGGAACCCCCGGTCAAGTGCCATGTCAATTGGTGGGAGGGTATATTAAGTGGAAGGGAGTGGCTGGTCGTGTCTCCTGCGGGCTCGCGGAGCCCGTGGGTCCGTGGGTAGCGTTCCCGCCGAAGACAACAGGGCTCGGGCCAAGCCCTAGCTTACGATGAAAAACACCTATTGGACCTTTTCGGGGTTGCTGTTAAAGTATGAAAAGGACATCAGGAGACCACCCATTTTGCGAGTCCCCGGGTGTTTTACACATGCCAAATTCTGCTTTGCCAGGGTCCTTTGTTTCAGGCGAGCGCGACTCCTTAGTACAGCGCAAGCACATTCGCATACTTGATTTCAATCAAACGACCATTGGAAACCCAAATTCACTGTTGTCAGGACCCCGGTGGGTGTGTGCAGGTATTTGCGGCATCTCAGCCATCTCCCACCAGAAGAGCTATGCTGCGCTTGCGACACTTGGCACGCTTTTCTGGCTCATTTTGCACCACTGCACCGAAATTGCACATTTCAGCCCGATTACATCAGCGGGCCACTGTTAGATGGGTTGCCTCTCTTCTTGGGTGATGCAGAGGTTTGACTGAAAGTGGAGAACTGGGTGTTCTCTCTGAACCGGGGCACCTCTCCGTTGATGAACCAGAGTTTGAAAACTTGCGGGTTTCCATTGATGACAAGTGGGGAGGGCACCTGAAAAGAAACAGTCAGCTTCCAGGTGGACAGATATTTCTTCGTTGATGCGTGTTCCCAGTTCGGCGGCATGACAGTTTTTCGCGCGACTCCACACATGGCGTTTTGTTGTCACTGCTTGCAACTGCTGGTTGGTTTGGTGAGTTCCAAGTTCCATGTCAACTTGCAGGAGTGTGTGCTTGCTGGTAGCTTCCGGAATCGTTTCAGTACCAACCCTCTTCAGCTTTTTCCCTGTTGGGTTTTCCCGCAAGACGCAAATGGGTGTTTGTTTATTGGTTTTCAAAGGTGCGTTATCTCATTTGCATCCACTGAAGGCGGATGCTCAGAGACAGTGACAGCTCTTGGGGCATTGAACATGAGGGAACCTCGCGTCGCTTTGAAAGCCGAATGGGGGATTCTGAATTTCTTCACGGCATGTGGGTGGCATGGGTTGTCACGGTCAGTGTCGCTGTTGGGCTTTCAATTGTTGCCTTACAAAAGGATACCTGGCGTACAACAAGCATAGTGACAGACCCCTTTGGAAGGCGACTTTTCAGTTTTTAGACAGGTGGTCTAGGAGGGTAAAGATGCAGCCAGCCATTTGGCTTGGCTTGGATTGCGTGTCGCCGGTGAATCACGTCCATGTTCCGCCACCAAGACTAACGTTGGCAACCGCCAAGGCACTCGTCACTTGCAAGGGGAAGGGCTTGTTCCCCGCATTTGGTTCCCAGACATTGGAACAGCCAGCAGAAATTGACTTTCCTCACACGGTTGGAGTGCCACAGAGAGCATGGATTCGGATTGTCCAAGCCGCCACTTTGATCAGAGACTAAGGAAGCAAACGCGGCAGCACCTGCGCGATCGCGTGGACGAGGTGCGTGCCGGGCCGAATGTTCTTCTCAAATGACATCTGAAGTGGGAATAAGCGGCTGCCAACAGCCAAGGTGTTGGCCCTTCCTTCTTCTTTGTGGACCTGCTTTTCCTCTTTGCCCTTGCCTTTGACTGTTGCTTCTCCAAAAAATAAGGTAGTGGAAAACCGCTCAGCGCCTAACAAGGACCGAACGCCGAGAATTAGACCAACCCACATGTACTGCTGGAGGGAGAGAGAGAGAGAGAGAGAGAGAGACAGAGAGCGAGAGATGTACTGACTCGCTTGCCCCTTGGACCCTTCTTCGTTTGATTTAGCGGTGGCTGTTTGCCCGAATGCAGGGGCTGAGTTCAATACCTGGAGCTATTCTTGCATAAAACTACACATTATTTTGAACACAAGCATTTCCCCACCAAAATGAGTTTACTCGTCTGCGAGTCACAGCCTTTTGTCGAAAGAGTGCCAACAACTCCTCCCCAGTTTTTAGGGTTTTGTTTACACGTCACCCAGTTTCTTGCATATGCCTTCCAAACGTGCCTCCGGCGCCTTTCGACATTCGAGGGGGAAAAGGAAAGACAACACCCCCCACATCGTTCGCTTTGGTTGCGGGAGACAATAGGAAAGATATAGAAGGAGTCAAAGGAGTCTTTGGGTTGTGGGTCCCCTTCACTTTCCCCCCTTCGTGACCAAAAGCCAAGCAGAGAGGCCATCCGAGAAGTCTTGTCAAAAGAGTTGCAATGTCTCGCACGAGAGAAGGGGCTGACTCGCCAGTTGACTACATCCTCAGACCGCCGGGGTATAGAGCTGCTCGGCCCGGAGAAGGGGCTCAACCCGTGGGGTCGGAGAAGAACATCCCAGAGAGAGAGAGAGGAAAAAAAAGGAAAAAATATTTGCTTGGTGTGTGGTTTTTCCCACGGTTCCTTTCAGCCAGCCAAGAAGTTTACTTTTCGCAGGGGGTCTAAGTCCCGCCAGAGGTTGCTCAACCCTTGAAGTGGTACCGCTGCACCTAAGTGGCCTATGTTATAGCTTTTATAGCTGGAACCAAGCCGATTTCTCCAGTTGGGGGTTGGCCCAGTTTGAGAAGCCTAAATCATGTTGTCGCTGTCCCCGTCCCATTCAAACTGGGCTTGGCACGTCTCCCGCGTCCAGGGGTGAGGATGGTAAGCTACATTGCTACATCTGGCTCGTTCTAGGAGTGTCCCTTACGTGCTTCTTATGCACTGCAAAACCCAGCATTTTTGAGGTCGATCACTTCCGGGACCCCCCAACTTGGGTCCCTTTCACGAGGCACTTTGTCGTTGTTTGTTGCCTAGGGCCTAGCTCATAGCTTGTGCATTTGTTTGTAAAGATTCGGACCTTTGGGGATATTTCGATTCGAAGGGCCGCATCTAAGCCACTGGCGTTTGGCAGTACACTGGTGGCGCCTTGCCCCATTTCGCCTCTCTCGCGAAATCCCTTGGTGCATGTTCCTTAGTAGGAAAAGCGAAAAGGGAAACCAGGGGGAAGAGACAGAGTTCGCGAGGGCATCCTGAAACACTTTTTGCGGGGTTCCGAAACCACGAAACCTCCGCAACATGGTTCCAATTTTTCGACCGAAGGCTTCGGTCACTGGTTGGGAACGGGTGTTGTGTTTGGGGTTTTCCAATGTGTTTTCCGAGTAAACAGGGCCTCTGTTCTCTTCTCCTAGCTATCTTGGCTTGGCGCGACCAAGGCTGGGCCATGTGTTTGACCTAGCCACAATAAATTTGGTCCATAAGTTGTTTGGTCTTGGCTCGTAGTTGTTGGAATGACCCCGGCAAGAATCCTGGAAGATGCCTGGGTTCGTTCCCGAATTCGTGGATGGATGTGTACGGCCAGGATGCCAACCGCCTCACGCCGCCCAGCCTCCCCCACTGCTTCACTGCTCCCTCCGCAAGCGTCACAGGGAGCCCTGCAGTGATTCAGGAGCGAGACCCAGCTCGGTGCTACATAGCCCCTCACGGCCAGGCCAGCGCGCAGGCAAGGAAACTGCTGCACCCAGCCAGCTGCCGCCATCCTACTCATGCCCGCCACCCGCATCCACTGCGAAGAGCAAGTCCCCAAGCTGCCCGAGCGGACCGGCATAGGGGCAAGACAGCATGACGTCATCAGACAGCAGCCGCCAGCAAGCTCCAATCCCTTGGCCTCCCCCGCGCTAGCCGCTCCACGTCCAATCGTTGTACCTCGGAGTGTTGGGGGAGGCGCCAGGAAAGACAGCGCCCGCCCCCTGACAGAGGGTTCCCGAACTTGTTTTTTTATTGCAAATCGGATGCCTCAACAATCTGCTTTCGGTGTCCGAGGGCGTGGCATTACTTGTTTCGACAAAATGGGTGGCTCGGTCTTTTGTTGGAGTTGGCAATTGCATTTGTGTTGGTGGTTGCAAAGGGAGCCCAAACGGAAAGCCGCCATTCGGCGGGGGTCCCCTAAAAAGAATTGATGCCAAGCTGTTCGTTAGATCGCGTGTCTTTCAGGTCCTCCCTTCTGGAGCTCTACACCGCGGCCCGCAAAGAGAACCTCTCAGACTTCGCGGCACCTCGGTGTCAATGACTGGTGCTCCGAAAGGGACCAACGCTTGGCCCAGCTCCAGTCGACCCTTGGTTTTTCAACTTGTCTTGGAGTGAGCAAAAAGATTGCCCTGCTTTCCGGGCTTCCTCGCTCGCACTGTTTTTGACAATGTCTCATGACCGTGGCATGGCCAGTTCTAAACATGGACCGATTGGCTCTTCCAAAATATGGAACCATTTGTGGAGCGGAACGTAAAACATTCAGAACATGTTGAAAGGATGCTTTGACCTCATGCTTCAAGCAGACAAGCATTTTGGCTGGGCCTTAGGGCGCCCGTTTTTGTGGTCCAAGACAGACCCCGGGTTGGCCTACCGGGTTCAAGACCCATCCCATGGTGCCCTCAAAAGAAGTGTAGTTTCATCACGGCGGGAAGCTCATCCTGCAAATGATCCCTGGGTTGGCCCATTTTAGTCAGCAAAGAGCCTTTGCACCTTTCTGGGCCAATCGATCGGAAGTGAGGGAAGTACCATTCTGTGACAGACGCCATTCCAATGTACTCCAATGGTGTCCCCCTTTGCTTCCTTAATCCTGTTCAGAACTTTCCAGCAACTTGGTCTTCCTCGAATTTCCTTGTAACTGAAATACTAGGTCCCCCAGTAGTGCCCTTTCTGACCTTTTTTGGTTGGGAGGGTTCCCCTACTAAATAAACTACAGAAAAAAGTTGGTACCAACGGAGCTAGAACAGCAGTGTCTCAATTTTCCCCTTTTTTCGCCCCAACCGGCTGCTTCCCCTCCATTTGCTTGTACGAATATGTTTGAAGGAATTCGTCACTACCGTTAACCAACCCGGCTGCTTCAAGCAGGGAAAAACCGGCAGCTCGTTGCGACGAGGAGCTTTTGGTGCAGAAGCTGGGCTCCTCGCTTCCTTCGGAATGGGCAGCGGTGAAGCCGCTCGCCTCGGGTCACTGGGGGGGAAGAAACGAGCTCACCATGGTAAAGGCCCTTACTTGGGGATCCCTTATTTGAAACGTGTTGGGCTTTTTGTAATATTTGCAGACTTTGGGGGCCGCTTTTACAGGGAGTTTTTCTCCTTGAAATAAATTATAGGGAGCCCTGTGCCCCCCCCCAAAAAAAAGAAGGAGTGTTTGCATGTCCCTTTTTGGTGCATTTGGTTGGTGGTTTGGATTGGAGGTTTGGGGTGTGAAACCCTGACACACCCCGTGGGGCCACCTCCAAACTCACCAAGGGGAATCTGATTTAACAGGGTAGAAGCTTTGGTTTGATGGGAGCCAGCCGGGGTTTAGGAGGAACTTGTTCTTTTTTGCGTATTTGTGTGTTGTATGGTTCGCTGATTGCTTGCGTGTAGTGTTTTTCTTCTGTAGCTGTTTGTTGCCCTATATTGTGTGTTATTTGATTTTTGAGATATTTTGTGGTTTCAACACGCGCGGTTTTGTCCATGGGTCCAAACAAGTGCTCCGGGCCAAGCAATTCTTCAGTCGATGGATCCAAACGGCCTCGAGCCAAGGGCGTCAAACAAGGGGTGGCCCTTTCAGGTCCTGGTGGGTTTCCCTGGGGTAGTTGCTACCAACCGATCAAGGGGCGCGGTCCTAACGCAAAGTCCCCGGTAAAGTGTTTGAATGATTCCTGGGCAAAACCAAAACTCCATTCCCACGTTTCTGGACTTTGGACGTTTTGGGAAGCCAACATTAGAATCGCGTTGGCAAACCCACTCAAGTGGGACAACGTCAACCCCTGCCCAGTGAAACAGGTTGGACAAAAAACACCTTTGGGGTTGACCCTTAAACGGCAGCCCATCAAACAGACATGGAAAACGGTGCCGCTGTACGGGCAATGGGTTGGACTTTTAACCTTTAATGTTCTTGGCAAAAAAACATGTGCTTCCCCCCTAACCAGCAAAAGTTCACAGATTCCCGGGCCCAACGTGCTCTGAATTTGGGACCTGCGGGATAGGACTGGGGAGAGGCAGAGAGACAACGATTGAATAGCCACGTAGTGGTTTGTTGCGGGCTCCAACCCTTCCCCTCTCAGGGGAAGCAGCTTGTCCGTGCAGAAGGCCAGTTGCATGCTGAGAGTTGGTCGAGCTCAATTACTGGGCACTTTCAACGGTTTCCCTTCAAACCATCATGTAGGGGATAATCTTGATGATGTCACTGTAATGGACCTGGGGCGGTCCTTTTAGTTTTCTGTTTGGAAGGGTTGTCATGTCAAATCAACTTGGGCTTCTAAACCATCGGTTTGGGTCAAGCGACTCTAAAAAGAAATGTGGAAGCTCAAATACTCTGACCTTTGCAGAAAAGATGAGGCTGCTTGGTTATCCTTTTTCTTCTAGATAAGGAAAGTCAATCACCAGTGGAGGGGGACTTTGTTATGGGAGAAAGGGAGAAACAACATCCAACCTGTTGTTTGAATGGTGAGTGAAAAGGTGAGAGGCGGGGTCGGATAAACATAGGGGGGGTCAACAACACCCCCCCCCCCGGTCAAAAAATTTGGAATTTCCGAAACAACCCTCGTGTGCATGAATATCCAATCGACCTCTCAAACTTGAGCACATTGGCAAGCCCAGGCTTGATCCCTCATTAAACAAATCGATGCTTCAACCACCAATTTGGGGAGCGCCGGTCAATCGCTGGAGATCTCCATTCCATTTTTTCTGGTCCCCATGTGCCAAGGACACGAGCGAGTTGTCCAGCCAAGTGTTGGGGGGGTTCAGCTTTTCAGGCCATGAAAACCCCAATACCCTAAAGAAGGAGATGCAAAGCTTCCATTTGCTTAGGATTTGTTTTTACCCTGCTTGGTTTTCAAGGGAATTTATCACTACTGGAAATATTTCGATCTTTTCCCGGGGGCTTAAGCAAATGGAAGAACATAGACTCTGAGCGTTGACCAGGAGGACCCTTTCCCCCTAAAGGTGGCCCCAATCCCCGCGTTCCGACCCACAGGGCCTGATCGGCGGGTTTAAGTTCAGGGTGTGTAGGTTTAGGATCTAGGGGTTTAGGTTTGGCCCCACGCACCCCAAAGCACCGGCCCTGCGCAGCGATTTGGGTTTCGGTTTAGGGCTTTAGGGTTTTCTGGGGTTTAGAGTTTGTAGGGTTCAGGTAGAGGGTTTTAGGGTTTACTTTCTGCAGCCGGGTTTGCAAGTTGGATTTTCAGGACCCAGTCGCAGCTCAGCCGTCCCAAGCCTGAAAACACCGTCGCACAGGAATTTGCATTTGTGGCCATGAATTGGCCGAGGGGCAGAACCTTCCCCGCAGTCTTGCTTCTTGTGAAATGATGCAATTGGCATGGGTCCTCTCACAGGCCCAATGCGCAGGTCCTCACTAAGGTTTAGTCGTACAGTGCGGCAGGATGCCGCTGACATTTGGGCTCAACGCCCAGGCCTTACGCCAAGCTGGCTTTTGCGGAAATAGAAGGCAGCCATCCCGTGCGGTTCCTCGCTTTGGTCCCTCACGGCCCTGCTTTCATAGTGGCAGCGGAGCCCCTGGTTGGGGATTCGTGGCACGCGCCAGGACCTTTGAGCTCGCCAAGCCCCACGCTGTGATCGCCACTCCTGTCCTTCTACTCAGACTCGCCTGAGGTTGTCACTGTGGCACGCGCCAGAAGTGATCGGCCCGATTCAGGACTTCGAGAGTTTGAGCCTTGACAGCTTCTGGGACCTTGTCGCGGTCGGCCTCGTTCACTTGCCGGTACCGCCCCTGGGTGAGGTCCTCCTTTGCCCTGTATCACTTCTGCATCTTTGTACTGACCTTTGTTGCCCCTACACCTGAACGAGCGCTACGGGAACCGCTACGTGCTCGTGTTTTGCCTGTACCAGGCCTTTTTGCTAAAGCCCTTGGCGGCCAAGTTCTTTCTGCTCTTCTACCAGCACAGCCGGCGAAGCCATGGCCGAAGAGGAGAAGGGCACCGGGGCCTGGACCAGAGTCCCAACATGGGACGGCTCGCCGTTGACATGGCGAGCGTTCAGGCGTGAGATGAGCTGGTGGGTCTCTTCCTTGGACCTGTCCAGTACAGCTCGCTACAACCTTGCTGCCCGTTGGCTTCTTCGACAACAGGGCATAGTGCGACAGCGCGGTGAGGAGTTTGACCCTTCGGAGCTGACCTACAAGCCGGCCGAGGTGGTTGTGGACCCGCAGACCGGCGAGGACGTGGAGCTGACCCCGGTCGACTACCTGGCCGGCCTGAACAAGTTGCTGGACGCCCTGGAATCCATCAACGGCCAGTCCACTTTGGACAAACGAGGAGAACTTCGACAGCAGTTCTACGTGGACTTGAAACGGAAGGCGGGCGAGCGCATGTCGGAGTTCTGCACCAGATTCAGAACCCTCACTGCTGACCTTCGTGCTGAAGGAGTTCTTCTACCAGATGGTGAACTGGGATGGTTCCTGAAGGAAAAGCTCGGGTTGGACCCGCTGCGGAAGCAGCTGTTGGAGACCGCGCTCCAGGGCAACGAGAATTACTCGGCCATTGAGCGCGAGGTGCTGCGGCTGTTCAAGGACATCCACTTGAGCGACCCCCTGCATCGTCAATTTCCTCGCCCAAAGCTCACCATCAGGCGGATGTTTGGTGGCGGATCCTCCGGCAGTTCGGTGGCTACACCTATTTCGGCATCGGCGTCTACGGCACCTTCGTCGCGCGCTTCGTGGTCTTCGTCGGCGCAACAGCGCCCTGGCTTTCGCCGCGGTTTTGGCGGCGGGAGCATGCGACAGGCCAATGTCGCTGAGGTTGCCGAGGAGGAGGAGCTGGACGAGGAGCCGGACGGTGAGGACAATGGTGCCGGCCCAGATGTGGCCGGTAGTCTTGAAGACACGATCAAAACCGAGGCGGAAGTCTTGGCCACCGAGCTGGAGGCCGCTGAGGAGGAAGGCGTCGACCCGGAGTTATTGGATAGCGTTGAAGCCGGCTTCGAGCAGGCCGCCGAGACACTGGTCACCATGCGGGAGGCCAGGACCAGGCTTGCCGAGGTCCGCAAGGACCGTGGATATGGCCGCGCTCAAGATCCTGGTGGCCGGAAACCCCCAGCCACTGCTCAGGTGGCGACGCGGAAAGCCTCTGGGAAGCACCCCTGCTTTGATTGCGGGCAGAGCGGCCATTGGGCTGGGGATCCTGAATGCACTCGACCTGGTGCTGGCGCCGGCCGCAACACAGCCGCCAAGGGTGCCGGCAAGACCAAGCACGTTAAGCAGGTGAAGGTTGTGGAGAACCTGAACCCCGACCACCAGGTGCAGATCACCGAGCACACCCCGGTCCATGAAGTAGCTGTAGTTGACGTGATGAACCTTGAGCAAGCTTTGCAGAGCTCGAGTGAAAAGCAGTCGGTCACCCCCGGATTGCACGGTGACAAACAGCTGGTCGGTGCCCTGGACTCTGCGTGTAACCGAACATGTGCAGGCCCCCTCTGGTTGGAATCTTATTTGCAGCAGCTGCGCCAAAGCCCTGCGGAGATTCAGCAACTCGTTTGCAGCGAAGATGAATCCGAGATGTTTCGATTTGGCAATGGTGGCTGCGTCTCCAGCAGTAAGCGATGGCGCCTCCCCATTATGGTGGGATCTACATTGGCACTGCTTTGGGTTTCCATTGTGCCTGTCAGTTCTTTGGGCTGCTTGCTTGGGCGAGATTTGTTGGATGCCCTTGGGGCTGTGCTGGATTTTGCACGGCGTACATTGTGTTGCGAATATTTGAACGAGCGAGCAATTCGCCTTGAACAGATGTTGGCAGGCCATTTTCGGTTGAAGCTCCTCCCCAATTTTTGGCCAGCGCCTTGTCATGAACGTTGGCGTCGAGTTGGACTTGATGGAGTGTTGGAGGTTCAGATTGGACGGCAGGAATGGCTAAGGCGAAGGGTATCCATGCAGGACTCTCTTCAAGGTCACAGACATGAACATTTGTTGACTGAGCATGGCCTTCGCGCAGCGGTGTTTTCATCTACACCGCCGGAACCTTCGGCTCATGTTCCTAGCCAACCAGCCTGCAATTCCTCCCGCTGCATGTTGGAGACCAACCGGCATGCTCACACCGGCCGCGGACCTCGTGACCTTGGTCGCTCAGCGATGGCATCGACTTTGCCTACGCATCAGCGCCCGAGCTCTATGGCACGTTCGCGGCATCCTTTTATGGCTCGTGCAAAGGCCATACTTGCGCTGGCTGCCCTTTCCCTATCCGTCGGTAGCGTCCACCAGCCAGTGGCGCTTGCAGGCGGAGTCTATGATCAGCCAGAAGACTTGGCCTCGGCGTCACCATCAACGAGGGCAAGATCGTTTCACGGCCATGAACCTCAAGGACTGTTGTCATCTGCGCGACCGGATGGGCTACAAGTCCGCCTTCGTGGAGGACTCGGCTCTGATGGGCATGTTGGCAGCTCGTGCACTTCGTGGCCAAGCCTCGCTGATCAAGAAGAACGCAATGGAGGAGCATCAGGCCGAGGCTCGAGCCCTGCTCGCCCAGGGCCAGCAGATGGAAGCGGTGCGCTCCATGATTGGACCTCGGGGCGGGCTACCTTCACTCAAGAGCGACCTCGTGCGCCTCGCCACCCTGTTGCACCTGGCCGTGGACAGCAAAGACACGGTGGAGTCCCTCAAGAGCAAGATCCGTGGCCCTCTGGCCACCATCATGGAAACTTACAAGGCGGGGAAGGCCCCCGCATCAAGCCCCTCAGCAGTCAAGGTTGTGAGCGAGAAGCCTTCGTCGTCGCTGGCGGCCGCACCCACACCGTCATCTCCCGCGGTCATGAATGTCGAGGAGATCGAGTCCAAGGTGGTGGACATGATGGCCAGGCAGGAGGAGCGGTTTCAGACCATGCTGACGCAGGTTTATCAGCACGTCCTCCTGCTGCAGAACAATCAGCAGGTGCCTGGAATGGCGGCCAGCCAACAGAGCGATGGGACCAACTCCTGGATGGAGATGAACGTGCAGGACCAGGAGATGATTCCCCACCTGCCCAACCAGTGACCTCATGGAAACTCGATGGCAAGCCGAAGATCAAGAAGGGCGTGCGACAAATGATCTCCCAAGCCTGGGAGCGCCATCGACGAGATCAGTTGGCGGTGTCTGTTGATCAGCGGCGGATGGCGGAGGTCATGGAGACTATGTGGTCAGCTGAGATGGAATCCTATTCCCAGGAGGTCTTCTTGACCGAGTTGGACTTGGTGCACCCGCTCATCACGGAGGTCTATACCGACACTGAGCCTGTTGCTCGCGCTGCTCGTCGGCGAGGTCATCGGTCTGGGGAGAGCCTGACCTTGGGCTTTGGCTGGGATTTCTCCCTCCCCAGCCACCGTTCTGCGGCGGTGCATCTGATCAAGGAGAGTAAGCCCTACTGCGTGGTGTTGGCCTTTCCTTGTGGACCTTGGTCGGCCCTGATGCGGTTGAATCCGGCCAAGGACCTGGCTGAGCGCCGACGAGCTGCCAAAGTTTTGGTTGATTTTGCTGCTGAAGTTGCACTGCTACAACTCCGTGAAGGTCGGCACTTCATCATGGAGAATCCTCGAGGTTCTGATGCTTGGAAGCTGCCGATCGTGCAACGACTGCTACAACATCCGCGGGTTCGCTCGGTCTACATCGACCAGTGCGCCTTCGGCCTCAAATCGGCCGGCGGAGAGCTGCACCAGAAGCCAACCAGATTGGTGACTAGCAGTCAAGCGCTGGTTTCCAGGGTTCGTGGCGGAAAATGTGATCGCTCACATCATCATGCGCCAGTACTCGGGGGTCGCAAGATCACAGAGCCGGCGGGACACTACCCCGATCGCCTCGCCCAGGCGATGGTGCAAGGGCTGGAGGACCAGTTCAACTTTGAAACGTGGTTGGTCCATCGGAACCTGGAACAGGAACAGAATGAGGTGATGGTGGTCGATCCTGGCGATCCGGACTTTGAGGCGGAGCCGTCTTCGGGCGAGGAGGTGGATGATCTTCCCCAGGCTAGCGAGAAGCTGACCATTCCTGCTGCAATTCGGAACGCAGTGTACCGACTTCACGAGAACACTGGGCATCGCAGTGGACGTCGCCTTGCACGAGCCCTTGTTGTTTGTGGAGCCCCTCGTGAAGCTGTGGCGGCAGCGCGTCAGCTCAAATGCTCAGTATGTGCTGAACGCCGGCCTCCGAAGGCTGCTCGGCCTGCCGGACTACCCTCGGTTCGAGATGCCGGTGAACGAGCTCACATCGACTTCTTGATCGTGGAGGATGTCTTCCGAGTGCCCTACGTGGTTTGCCACATCACCGACTCTGTCACTCGGTACCAGATGGCGGACATCCTGGAGAACAAATCTACCGAGGCGGTAGTGAACTTCCTACAGCAACGCTGGTTGCCGGTGATGGGACCGCCGCGGACAATCGTGGCCGATCAAGGCCGAGAATTTATTTCTTGGGAATTTGAGGAGTTTTGCAATTCTCGTTCAATCCACTTGTTTCACATCGGCGTCGGTGCCCCCTGGCAGAATGGCATTGCTGAGCGCAGTGGTGGCACCATTAAGGCCATTCTCGGGGCAATTGTCAAGTCCCACGCGGTTTCAGGTTTGGACGGCATGCGCCTGGCCTTGGGAGAAGCGGTGGAGGCCTACAACACCGATGTGAATGAGGAGGGCGTCACGCCGCTTCAGGCGGTAACCGGCCGGCAGCCCCCATCACACGGCGATGTCCTCAACAACTTTGCGGGTCGTTTGGCCGAGCATTCCCTCATTCAGAACAAGCCCAGTCTCGCTCGCCAAGTTGCTCTTCGTGAAACAGCTCGGCTTGCCATGGTGAGACTTCATTTTTCCCGTGGTCTTCGACGAGCTGAGTTGGCACGAGCGAGATCGTCTACCTACGAGAAGGTCCCCAAGCCAGGTGACCTTTGCTACTTCTGGCGAGAGCAGAAGTACAACAACCCCCGGAAGTCTGGTCTTCGTGGACGTCTTGTACTTCGGCGATGGCATGGCCCTGCACTCATGGTCGCTGTCGAACGGCAGTCGGAAGGTGGAATGGGTGCCAACGCCTTCTTGTCCTTCAAGGGCCAGCTCACCAAGTGCCCCCTGGAGCATATCCGGCCGGCATCATCCTTGGAGCAGATTGCGGCGGACTCTTGGGAGGAGGCCATCCGGGAGGTGATCGACTCTGCTGCTGACGCCGCCCCTGAAGAAGTTCAAGGAGAACATGGCGATCCTGCTGGTGCTGCTGATGGTCCGGGACTACCTGGCCAAGAGGCGGCTGTTCATGGAGCTCTACCGGTTCCTTCAGCTGTACCTCACCCCGTCGCCGGCGGTGAATCAGGTGCTCCTGCTTTGTCACCTGCTGAAGTGGTCGCTGCGCTGCAGTCTGCGACGAGTTTGCCTTCGGCACCTCCATCGGCGCGGACGTCGCTGCTGACTCAGGACTCGGTGGAGGGTGGAACGGCCATGCCTGGCACTCCGGTACCGGATCTAGTCCTTCGAGCCGGTCGATCTTCTTGAGACAGGCTCGCGAGCACTTTGCAAAGGGCACAGATGCAGGATCACCCTGATGTTGGGCGTGGACTGAAACGACCTGGTGAAGACTTGGAATCTTCTCGCCCAGCGTCCAGCATGCGAGAGGAGGAATCTGTGGCTTCAGCTTCACTGCCGGATGACCCCAACCTGTCGCAGCCCGCGTTCGAGGCCTTGACGATGTCGTCAACTGAGATTGACCGCATTGCGACAGAGACTGATGGTGTGCATCCTCTACTTCGACTACAAGCGCTTGCTGAAAATGATCGACGGCATCCGCTGGAGTGCCTGGATGCTGATCATGGGAGCTGGGATGGCAGATGGTCTCACATTTGCCAGGCTGAATGGAACCTCATGCGGGAGCTCGGTGAGAAGTTTCCCAATGGTGACTGTCACAATGTGGCTGCGGTCCAGACTGCGAGAAAGGAGTATCCCTGGAAGCCCATGCCGGAGCCCACGAAACATGCGTTTCGAGAGGCCGCCGTGAAGAACTGGAAGGCCTATGTGGATAACAACGCCATCAAGGTCCTCTCGCTTCAGGAGTCTCGTGCGGTGAAGCGCGAGTTGGCCAGGCGCGGTGAACTGGACCGGATTCTTCAACCCCGGTTTGTCCTGACCGACAAGCATGACGGATTGCGGACGGAGGGCAATCCACTCCCTTTGCTCGCCAGTGCCCGCATGGTTGTTCCTGGTTTTCGTGACCGTGCAAACTTGGAAGGGCGATTGAGGCGTGACGCTCCGACGGGTTCGAGAATCTCGCAGCACTTGCTCTTCATCATGGCGAGCGCTCACCCCGGCTGGGCCCTCATCTCGGCAGATGTGAAGTCAGCCTTCCTGAAGGGCGACCCCTATGTGCAGCGGGAGCTCTACATGACAGGCACCAACCCCAATGTTGGTCCGACCGTCCCGATTCCGGACGGGTGTCTGGCAAGAGTGCTCAAGGGCGTTTTCGGCCTTGCTGACGCTCCAAGAGAGTGGTGGCTGCGCTTGGACCGATGCTTAGTTGAGAATGGCTGGTCCCGATGGAGCCACCTGGGTGAGACGCGTGAACGGCAAGCTCACGGGCATGATTGTGGCTCATGTGGACGATCTGTTGTTCACCGGTGACTCGGAGGCGGAACACAGCTTGAACGACATTGGCAAGGAGCTTGGCTTTGGCAGCCTTGAAAGAACATGTTTTGTCTGGTGCGGAAAGAAGATCCGTCGGGCAGAGGATGGGACAATCCGCCTCAGCATGGTTGAATACCACCAGAACCTCAAGCCGATGTACTTGTCTCGTCATCGACGCTCAGATCCCATGGCCCTACTTGCTCCTGCAGAAGTTCGGCAACTTCGAGCATTGCTGGGCTCGCTGCAATGGCTGGTGGCACAGCTGCGATTCGACATGTCCTATGTGGTGTCGTCGTTGCAGGGCGAATCGCCCACGGTCGGTACCGCCATCAGGGCGAATTCCGCCGTGCAAGCCTTCAAGGAGGATGTGAACTTTGAGATGGTTTTCAGGCCGCTGGATTGGGAAAAGGCTGGGATCATGGTGGTGACAGATGCAGCTCTTGGCAATGTCACTCGATTTGGCACTGATGGCGCGGCGCCTCTGGAGAAGGTCTTCTCGCAGGCCTGCTACTTCGTGTTGGTTGCAGACGCCGACCTGATGAACGGCAAGACTGGCCGGTTTAACATCTTGGATGCCCGGAGCCATAGGGTTCCCCGTGTATGTCGCTCCAGCTATGCAGCTGAAACTCTCAGCGCCGAAGAGGCCTTCGATGTTGGGCAGTTGTGCAGGGGTTTCTTCGCCTCGCTCAAGGGCAAGTCCGTGGTCGGCAAGGAGTTCGAGAGGAACATCGACACGGTGGGCCTGACGGTGGTGGTGGACGCGAAAGACGTCTACGATAAGTCCAATTCGGACACCGCGAGCTATGGCTCGCAGAAGTCCTTGGCCTTCACGGTGGCTTGGATGCGTGCCTTCCTGAGGCGTCCTAACACAGCCCTCAAGTGGACCTCCACGGAGAACATGTGGGTCGATGGTGGCACCAAGGCCATGGATTTGACTCACATGAGGAAGATTATCAAGACCGGTTCCTGGTCGGTTTCCTACTCCCCGGACTTTGTGAAACAGGTGCACAAGGCGGCCAAGAAAGTTCCTAAGGTATCTGCATGCGCAGTGCTTCCTGGAGATGCAGTTGGCGGAGATGATCCGATACTTGCCCACCTCATGGCCTTGGGGGAACAACGCGGCTGGCATGCGCGAGCCGGTGTCGGCATCAACGTGGCTACATCAGCCAAGTCCTTTCGGACGCCTGAGCCCCGGTTTTCTGCAGAGTCTTTGCCCCTCCGCACCACGTTTGGTCGTTTCCAGCACGAGACCGGACAGTACGAGTGGAGGCGCTTGGAGGATGCCTTGCGGTACGGCAGCCTAGCCAACCCGCACGGCATGATTGGACGGACCGTGTCTCTCCTGGTTACCTTCTTCCATCAAGGTACACTTCCTGGACTGAGCGGCTGTGAGTGACCCATTTTCCGCCAACAAAAATAGTTGGGTCAATGTGAAACGATGCAATTGGCATGGGTCCTCTCACAGGCCCAACGCGCAGGTCCTCACTAAGGTTTAGTCGTACAGTGCGGCAGGATGCCGCTGACATTTGGGCTCAACGCCCAGGCCTTACGCCAAGCTGGCTTTTGCGGAAACAGAAGGCAGCCATCCCGTGCGGTTCCTCGCTTTGGTCCCTCACGGCCCTGCTTTCATACTTCTCGAGCCTCTGGATTTTAAGAACCTTTTGTGAATGAAAGTCCTCGTGGTATGCGAAGCAACTTGGACCGTTTCTAGGTTTCCCAGTCGTGCCCTTTTACCGTTTCTTTTTTCGGGGGAGGGTTCCTCTACCAAAATAGACAAAAAAGAGCAAAGTTGGTACCGACTTATTCTATCCTCTCTACTGGAGGACCTAGCTAAACAACGGTTGAAACTGGTTTGAAAAAGGGGTACTTGGGCGCAAATTTGGGGACAACCTGCCCCACCCTGGTGGCTCAAGAGGCTCCCTTTACGGCAGGAGAAGGTGGAGGACGCCACCGTGATCCAGCGCATGCAAGACATGGTGGACGAGACCTTCAAGGGATGGGGCCGCAGCTTGACATGAGCTTTTTGAGTCGGCGCCATGTGGAGGGTGGGCTGAGAAATGAAGTGTTGGTGCTTGTTTTTGCTGGCATGCGCAGTAGCTTAAGAGAACACGTGCGTGTGTGTTGTTTTGAGGCGCAATTGGGTGCTCACATTGGCAAATCGGAAGGACCCACAACGTTGGAGCTTGGGGCCCCCGATATTGAGATGAATCCAAAGGGCATGCTTCAGCGCCGGGTTCCCCATTTGGAGACAGCCCAATCGACAATCTCGAAGAAAGAGGTGCACCTCGCTTGTCTATGTCAGGACTGGTGGCACTTCTGGAACCAGTCAGATGCACATGGACTTCCATGGCTAATGCTGGAGTAATGGCCCCTAAGTGCACTAGTTGCAATGGCTCCCTACGCGAGTTGGGCTCTCAATCAGCAGATTTTACAATTGGCTAGTTATCCCAGATGCTATCCCTTTGATTTGCCCACAAAAGGAATTGTGCCATTTGCTTGCACCCTTGTATTTGCAAGGGCTCATTTTGACTGATATTTCGTTGGATCTTTAGCCTTCAATGTGTTGGTTGGACTGTGCATTTCCCCCACCATGCCAGAGGCTGAGCTTTGTGCAGAGGGAAACAGCTCTCAAACCCCTTCACATACCTGGTTGAATTTCCAGAGGTCTCCTAACATTTAGCACTGACACTATACTTGGCCTAACTACTGTGGATGGACGAAATCCTGCACCACCTAGAAATCCCTGAAACAATGATTCCCCTGACATTGCCAACAAACCTTGGTTTTGACCGCGGTTTCAAAGCGGTGCGAAAATGATTTCGTCCATCCACAGTGTCTCTCTAGTATAGAAACTGCCCAAGTGGGACGGCGTCTTCTCGTCGGTTCGAGGCATCAAGAAGACCAGAGACCGCAGGAACCCCTTGGGCACCAGACTGAAGGCACGCGACAACGTGTCTCATGGAGAGGAACGGTTTGGTACCACTTGAGATTGTCTGAAAAATAAGGACTTGTCTTTAAAACATGGTGTGTTTTAGAATGGGGGAGCGAAAAGGGGGAACCGCTAGTTAAATCTAAAGGAAAACTCCCCGAATTGACCCCAAAGAAGGACAACAGTGCCGCGGGGCAAATGCCTAACTACCCTCTTTGAGCGCTCAAAGCCTTCAAAGCTTGACTTATCTCACGACGGCTGCACCGGGTTGCCCGAGACATGGTCTTCCCAACTGGATTTCTTTTGTTCCGTGACTCGCCAAAGCTCCAGGAACGTTGGCACTTTGGTCAAAAGAACCATTTGTGAGCAACATGTTCCTAAGAATTCAACTTTACACTTCCAAACATCAAATGCCCAGATTCTAGTTCATACATCTTCATTCTTAATCCCGAAACAACCACAATTTTGGAGGAGACCCCAGCAAAGGGCAAAATTGACTGGGCGTGTCTTTTGAGAGTATACCCCCCTTTTTGCAGCAAAGCCATTGGGCTTCTGACTTGTTGATGAGGTGTCTCCACCAATCTCAGCGCAGGGGCTGCCTTTGAGCTGTTCTGGCTTAGTTCAACCTCTTGGGAGTACCAACCAAAACCCGCAGCAAAAGCAAGTTGAGTTCTATTTTTGTAGGGTTATGGCTTAGAGCTTGGCTGATGCCAAACGAAATGCAAGGCATGAAGTGTTTGTTGTTTAACGTGTTCGGTTTGGATGCTCCAAGGGTTCGGGCCGGAGACTACGAAGTTTCAGCCACGGGAAACAAAGGCTGTTTTGCCCATGTCTATACCGCAAAAAGCACATACCTTCACAGGTGAAGAGGTGAGGGTGTCCTGGAAATTCTAGCTGGACTGCCTCCATTCTTTTCAGAAGCCGGCCAAATACCAGGAAACAAACGCAAACTGTGTCTTAAAAGCAACAATGGGGGCCGATCGTGTCGAATCCTACTGGACAAGTTAGATACGGCTGGGTGCGATCGGCAGCTTCGAAGTATTGAGGGGCCGCTACCTTTGGGTTTCCCTCATTCGGTCCATTTAGTCAACCTTTAAAGATTCAGGACTTGCTGGGAAGACACTACACCAAGGACTTCAGACAATTGAGTTCCAGGGACCTTTTTGTTTGTCAGCGACTAGTGGCGGGTGATGAAACAGTCATTCTCATGGCTTCCATGTTGCTGTCACGTTTTTGTTGTTGATGTTATGCTTTCTAGTTGGCAACACGGCAGTGGACAGATATCCAGCGGATTTCAGTATCACGATGTGTTCGAGCTTTCCACAGATAAACAAAGATGGCAAACATGTGAGCAAGCACCCTGCTTCGCCTCTTCTGGCACACTCACAAACAATGCACGAGATAGCCAGGTCCTCATTTTCTCAAACGCAGCCTATTGACCTTTTAGTATTTTAAGCCAGCCTCCAACAGGTTAAGCTTTCATTTCTAGTGGTTCCATTCTCATGAGTATAGGACTGTCATGATGCGATGTCAGATGGTACGTTTGTCGTGACGCACATTTCCCCATTCATAAGACCTTGCTCTATACCATGACCCACCCTTTTCTGCTTGTTGGATCTTTGACCGTCAACTTGTTGGCACGTTGTGTGTTCCCCAATGACCATCAGAAGTTCAACTTTAGGTGTACGCGCCTCATGTCATGCATCGGGTGGGTGCCATCTCCGGCGCTTCCGGTGGGCCATCGATCGCCCGCGTGGCGTTTGGACGGCCATCGGGCGGCCGCGCCGCGACACGATGCCGGCGCCTGAGTCCGCTGAATTCTGCATAATGCAAGTAAACTAACCGCACTCAACCAAGAATTCACGAAAAGCCATTGACAAGTACGGACATTTAGGGGGCTTTCTGGTTCTCCACTGTTGTTCAATGCCATGCCTTTTGCAGTTTTGTCAGGCTCCCAATCTCCCTGGGCCCCCGATCCCCAACACAGCCCCATCCCCTTGGTGCCAAACGCGCGTCCGGCCTCATGTTTTTTGATTTGTTTCTCGGTGTTCCCAGCCTTGAGTACTGGGGATTTGTTGCGGCAGAAATTACTGCCGCAATTCAGAGAAGGCGCCTTTTTGGATTTGCGGCACGTTTTTTTGTTGAATTGCGCTTGTGACAATTTGTCTTGCGAACCTTTCTGTGCGTGAGGTTCACCTAGGAACAGGAGATGAAACCTGCAAAGCTGGACCATTATGCAATTTTGTCAGAGGGGTCCAGGAGTGTCGCAGCCCGCCCTTGGCCCATTCATGCAGCTGATGCCCCCAACTCAGCAGAAATCGGTCCATTACCTCAGTTGTTCAGAGCCGACCTTTTGACCTTTTGGCTTCCCATTTTGGTCCATTTTTAGTCATGGCCCCAAAAGGTTAACCTTTTAGTTCCAGGTCCTTTGGGCAACTGAGTTACAATCTCTGGCATTGTGTTTGGCATTTTTCCTCTTCGTCACGCCCCCGATTTGTGGCAGACGTCGGCGGGAATGCAGCCGGCGGGAATGGAGGCGGAACTTGCGGAGAACAAAAGGGTGGTCTGTTTTGCCAGGTGCGTGGGGCAGAGAAAGCGGCTTACATCGTCAGATTTTGGGATTGACTGGTAACATGGGTGGCAAGGCTGAAAAGATCATCATCAAATCAATCCGTCTTGGCCCCTAGGTGCTTTGACAAATCGAAAGATCGCGGTAGCAAGCCGTCCTCTACGATTGCATGTTTGCCTTGAAACATTGTTCGGAGAATGGGGCCACGTGTGCTCAGCATGTTAGAAACATGAAAATCTAGGATTGTGCGCAGCCAGCCCGAAGCTCTGGAAACCGTGTTGTTGTGTTTTAGCTGCGAGGGTTTTTGCGTTTTGCGGCAGGTCTTCTGGAATGCGGCTGGAATTTCCGCCGCAATGCATTGCTGCAGAAATTTCCGCCGCAGGAAGTTCTAGTGTGTATATATATATATATATATATGTACGGTGAACGTTATATAGATATATACTTTGTATTATGTTGTGCCACTGGCTCAAACTGATGTCACAAGACCACCTTGGAGTTCCAGCACCTCTGCTTAGTTGGCACGAAGGGTCTCAGATAAAGTTCCTCAGCCCCCCGATCGATTCCAGTCAATGCAACCCGTCAAAGCCGCGCCTCATCACTTCGCAGAGGTCTCGCGGACGCGAAGCCTCGCGGCCTTGGCCTGCGCCTTGGCCTGGGCTCGGAGTCGCCCGGAAAGGCGCCGCGCGGGTCCGAGCTCGGCGCGGCGCGCGCTGCGGGTCCACGAGTTCTTTAGCGGCGGGGGCCGGATCGGATCGATGGTCGGTCGCAGGGAAGCACATGGCCTTAGGTGGCGCGCTTGTTGTGTCAAACTACAAACTAAGCGGAAACGTGACGTATACGACCACTAGACTACCAGACCAGGTCACCTGTAGATATATTTTTTCTGTATGCCATAGGTAGTTGTAGCTCGGGCGGACAAACACCTGCTATTTGGAAATGACTCGCGGGATGATTTTGTGGAGCCCTTGGACCGCTCAGGATTCCAAAAAGGACCTTCTCGACGACCCTTCCCTCCTGCGGCCTTAGACTCTTTGGATCAACTTGTGATGAACAAATCCCTGTGTTCTTTTCCTTCCACAAGAATCATGAGCTGCCAAGGGTGCTCAGGTAAATCTAAGCACCAACTATCCCACCCATTCAGGAGAAGCTTTGGAGCATTTCACAAAAAAGGGCTCTTGAGCTGCTTGAAGATTGCCCTTGCAGAAGTGGGTGCTAAAATGGGTGTCTGAAAACACTTCTGATGGGGGAAAAGGCTGCCGGGCTGAAGCCACTTCAGCCCATGCCAGCGTATTCAGCGTAAACCAAACTGTTGACAACTGAGAGAACGGGCTTTCTTCAGGGAACCTCCTGAGACACAACCAACAAAGGTACCCGAGCCCAAAAGGCAAGACTCTGGTAGAAAGGGGAACTAATATGAAAATCCTTGTTGTGCACATGTGGTTTCTGTTGACGGCCTTGGCCATCTACCTATGAAAGAGTACAGTTAGTTTGACAGTTTTGGCTGCGCTGCCAGCGTCAGACCGTTTAACCTGAGCCTTCCGGGAAAAACGATGGTATGTACGGGCTCTGCGTTCCAGGCATGTCAGGCGGATTAGTATGGTCCGTCGAACACTACCCCGGACATGTACACCGGGAGATGGACCAAACAAAAAAGGCTCGTTTTTTCTATCCTAAAAGACTAATCTCCACTGGTAGGCTGCCTACTGAAACTAGAAAACAAGGCTTCTAGATATACCCAGGCATCATCCTTTTCTCTACCAGCAAAAAACAACCCAGAAAGGGTCTTATTTCTATTGGCAGGCTGCCACTCAAAAATTGAAACAAACCCAACCCAGAAGGGGCCCCCGCGCTAGAACCAAAAAAGCAAAACAAGCCACCAGCCGTGTTTTCTTCATCTTTCAGGCGTGGGAGGCTTGCGTTTGGCCTTCCAAGCGGCCGGGGGCCGTTCGGCCCGCTGGCGGGCCTACGAGGTGGACGAAGCCTGTTGCCAGGCGGGGTGGGCCCACGGCGCCCTGTTTCCAACTTTTTTTGGTGGGAAGGCTTCCCTTTTTGTTCCTTTAAACTTAACCAACTACAAAGGATGGCGATGCCCTTTGGTTCCAGGGAAATTTACAGTGTTTCCTTTTAAACTCAACCACCCATGCCCTTTTTTTGCCATGGAAATCCACTGGGCATCTGAGCAACCAGAACCAAAGGTTTTCTGTCCCCAAAATACCAATCCAAACCAGCAAGGGACGGATCCCTCATCCTTGGTTTTGGGGGAAGCGGCAGTGGGCTGGGAGGGGATTCGTTTCCTGAAGATTTGCCGGGGGCCGGGGTTCACTATATGTTTGCCATCTATGGTGAGCATCCGTAATTATAATTACCGTGATCCAAGAAAGATTTTCCACATGTGTCCCCCGTTTGTTTGTTTGTTTTTAACATCACCCGGGCCAGTTCAAAGTGAGTTCGCTTTTCGTGTGGTGTTCCTGTGGGTTCTATGGGGGTAACGCCCTGTCAAGCCAAGGAATAAAAGGGCTCCGGGTAAAGGGTACAGAACCAATGCCATTTGCGTTCAAACATTGAGAGTGCAAGCACAGGTGTCCTTCTGATCGTTTAGTTTGGCTTGAGATGGGTTGCACCCACTGGTTTAGATGGGTGAAACCCAACTATTTGTCCAAAAGGTCACCCAGGATTGCAACCTTAGGGCACCAAACCGCAGGTTGGAACTTTCAATAGGTTGGGCTGCAACCAGACGACGGGCGCGTGTTTTTTGTTTCCCCTTTTGAAGGTCTGGCTTTCGATTTTTTACACAATGCACCCCAGCCTGGGAGGTGCCGGCGCAGAGCTTTTTGCCTTAAGCCTGGGTGCTAACTGGCCAACCTGCCCAAATTTATCACAAAAGGGATGTGTTTTTTCGTCTCATTGAGTCCAGAGCCCACGAGCCCCGTAACCAGCCGGCCTGTCCGGTCCCGAATCGATCTTTCAACGGGCATGGCCTGGGAGCCACAGTCAGTTCTAGCCGCACCTTCCCCATTGTCTTCAGGGATCCTTCTCTTCAAATACTGGGCCAATCTCCTGAATCAACCCTTAGTTCATTCACCAGGCGAGTGGACCATATGCCTTAAGCAACGTGTCGCTTGGCCGCGGGAAGGGCCGAATTCGTTTCGGGCTGTTCAACGACCCCGAAAATGGAGCCGTTTGTGGAGCCTTGCGGTCGGTCTTCGGAGCACCCACTGTCGCTTTGTTCAACATGGGGTCTGTTCTATCATCACAACCGATCACCCCGGTTAAAGGGAATATAGAAGCTATGAAGGGCCGGGTCCAAAATCGGGACTCATTCTTCTTGAGCACTATGCCCAAGCAGATGGCGCTCTAGGTGTTTATTTCAGGTTTCTGATTGAATTTTGATTGCACTGACTGGCTTGAGTGTGTTTCTGATGAATTTCATGGCCGGCCATGGTTGCAAGAAGCTTCAGCTTCAGCACATGAAACAGAACCTATCTTTGAGAATGCAAGTGGGTCGAACATGTTAACTGCAGTTCGTGTCAATTGGGCATAGATAAGAGTTCCAGTGCAATCCATCGACTCGAACCAAACTGAAGCCAGACACTTTTGTCCATGACCTGGTGGTGTCCAGTTCTGGTTCAAAGGTAAATGAAAGAAACCTCAGGACAAACATGCAAAACGGCTAGTTTGGCAAGGGGGGGTGTTTAAATCGTGGGGCCCAGGACGATTCGGACACCCTCTACATGAGCTTTGCTGCTAACCATCTGTGAAATTGTTCCCAACTAAACACAAGAGCCCCTTTTGCGAGGAGTCCATACCTCGCATCATCTCAAGTTGCCGTTTTCTTTCGGCGGCATCCGCTGTCCGCAGGCCTACCGCCAGCTCTACCATTCCCGGCAGCTGGGGGGCGTGCGACAAGCCGAGCCCTGGAAAAGCATCTCAGCAAACTGAGCTCAGCTGGTGTTCCGTTTGGGTTTGTGTTTTTTGGAGTTGGAAGCCCCTTGTTTTGGTGGTTCTGAAGGGAAACCGAGATGAACCCCCACCATGTTTGGGGGGGGCCCTAAAACAATGACACACATTTGAGCGTGGCTTTTGCTTGTTCCCTTTTCTGATTCAGAGCCAACTTGCAAGGGCAGCTATTGCAGCCTCTAGGAATTTGTGCTGTTGCCAGGAAGGTGAGGTTGAGCTTCTGGGTTTGATGGAGTTTGTTTGCCTTTCTGATTACCTCGAAGTGTATTTTCTTATTCTTGTTTCTTTCCTTCTGTCTTTTTTCTTGGGGGGGGGGGAAGGAGGATGAAGGCCCCGAAAAGCAAACAAGAAGGCAAGTGCACTCGACAAAAACACGCCAGTGTGTAGACTGGGCTCGCTGGAAAAAAGCCCAGGCATAGTGCGGCCGGAGGACGAGCTTTGGCGCTGCTCCATCGACAAGCTGCCAGATGCAACTCAGACCTGGGGTTGTCGAGTGGGTGGCTCGTTGGTTTTAGGGGGTACCCCTTTTGGGTGGTTTTATGGGAACCCGCAAGGAAACCCACAATGTTGATATGGGTCTCCTAAAAGAAGCCACACCCAAGTAACTAACAGGTACAATGGTCTAAACTACTAGAATTGTTATGCAGTACTTTAGAACTAAGATAAACTATGATCACAGCATTATGTGTGCAATTACTTGGCAACTTATCTTGCCTTTCCAACAACCAATGACATGACACCTGAACATGGTGCGACGCTCCCAAATGTGGTTGGGTCCTTGGCTTGGTTCCAATAAACCATCCAGTCATAGACTCAGAATGGCCATGTTCCTTTTTTGTGCTCGGACGTTCAGCATCTCATGTTAGCCACTTGTCATTCGTCTGAACATGGGCGGTGTGGCCATGAACAATTTACCCTGGCCAATTGACCAATCATGGCTTCATGGATGGGAAGCCAGGCAAGGTGATTTTCGATCCTTGGACCAAGCTATGGGTGCTTTAGCTGGGCCATGAACCATGAACTTGTCGTCTTTTTCGGTGGTTGGGTGGTTCATGCTAAATAGTTTCATTTTGCTTCAGCCAAGTTAGAACGAGGGGGTATTTCCGAGATGGATGCAGGTCCCTCGGGAATTTCTTTCAATTCATTTCGCTTTGTGAGTGATCAATTTCCCTGCGACTTGGCAAGGAAGAAGGCTAGTCCGACTCACTTGAAAGCGACTCGAGCTTTTGACCTTCTAGTTTCCGAATGTTGTCCCATGTTTAAGCCATGGCAACCCAGAAGGCTTTAAGGTGAGCAGCTGTTTTTGTGTTTTTTTGCCGCATCCTTCGCTGGGGCAACAGCAGCGCTGAAGTCGAGCGGTCGGTTCCCGCGTTCCGATTCGTGAGGCAGCCTTTGAGAAGGCGGACCTTTGGATCATGAGTCCACCCTGCCAGCCCTTCACGCGCACGGGCCACAGGCTGGACGTCAAGGACCGCTTCCGCTGGCAATGCTGCTGTCCCAATTGGGGGGGGGGGAAGGAGACAGCTTCAAGAAGCCTCTAACAAACGGCATCTTCAAGGAGAAGACAATCAAGACATGTGCTGTGATCCGTGATGTGGTCTGAACCTTCCAGTCTGCCCGAAAAAGAAGCCACACCATGCGTGGTTTCCCCTTTTTCGCGAACCCAGTTGGCCCTGTCTTTGTTCGGAGTTGGCACTCCCCTTTTTTTGGGGGCTCTTTAAAGGGACACCAACCGGACAGCCGACGCCATGGGGGCCAACCGGCTCACCGGAAAGACGGCCTGAGGACCCCCGGTGCAGGGCCCTGCTGCGACTTGTGGAGGCCTTGCCCAAGCTACGGGTGAAGCCCAAGGCAGGTTTGGTTGGGCACCCGACTTTCGGGTTGTCAGCCGGGCCGGTGAGTCTAGGTCCCCCAGTTTAGTGCCCTTCTCTCTACTTTTTCGGGGAGGGATTCCCTACCAAAAAAACACTACAGAAAAAACAGTTACCAACTTATTCTAACCTCTCTACTGGAGGACCTAAGAGTTGTTTTTCGTGGAAATGCATCTCTGTTTTAAAACAAATCTCCCAAAACGCACCAAGACCTTGCTTTTGATGATTTTTGGGATGTACCCGTTGAAAGCCCTCTCAAAACTCAGGAGATGTTTTTGAGGATGTATCCGTAAGACGTATCCCAAAACTCAGAAGACCTGCAATTTCCAATTCCTCAAACACCCTCTCAAAACTCGGTAGGGGACCTATTTCGGGGTCTATGTGTTTCGGAGTGCTTGTGGAGGGCGTGAGGGCCCTGTTTTTCCACGCATTTCCGCCGTTTTCTTCTTTGTTTGGACGGAGCCCACCGCAGAAGTAAACCGAAGGAAGATCCTTCACTTGGGGAGTTTAGTTCTTCAGGTGTTGGAGCAATGTACTATGGTAAACATTGCAGGACCATGGTCTGGTCTGTGAGTGAGTGAGCATGTTCCCCGATGAGACCATACTTGTGGGGTCAACAGAAGCCACGGGGTCCGAGATCTCCCTGTTGCCACACGTAGAGCTTTGTTCAACTTTTAGTTTTGGTTTGGTTTCTCAGGCTCTAACATCATGGCAGGTTTCGTCACTATCTCAGACCTCCAGTGCGGCGTGTTCTTTTTTGTTGTATGATGTTGAGAGGGGGCTTCCTGTTTGCTTTCGTATATGATTTGCAGGAGTGTCATTGGTGTGGTCCGCTTTCTTGAGATCGCCTGTGTGAATTACACCTACAGTTAACCTACCATGGTCAGGCACTGGTCATGTGACCACGCGTGAAGGACACTCTTTGCAAAGGGCCTCCTTGATGCACAGTCTTTATGAGCATGCCCGCCGAGCGCAATGATGGCTTTGTTCTCCCGGCGTAGGCTCAAATACGATGCCGAATTTTAGCGCAGACCCATCAAAGGGAGGACGCATGGTTCCAAATGACAAGAGGAAATGAACCAGCGGCTGTATTCGATCTTGCACAGGTGGGAATAAAACACCTTGAAGCAACAGCTTGGATGGCTTCTTACGTGCTTTAAGCCCTCCCGCCCCCCCTGCCCCCCCCCCCCCCCAAAGGTCCCCGTGCCAACTAGAACCAGCTCACGGGGTGAATCGAGGCAAACCCGATGTTTTCTCAAGGGTTCTTTGATTGCTTCGTGGTTTACCATACTTTTAGAGCATTCAAAGCAAGCAACACAATTCCCTTTTTCCCAGGTTGGTCCACCAGATTGGCAAACCACCCGGTTTCTCCAATTGGTCGCTGGCAAACAGCAGGGGGCTTGACATGTTTGGGCAGGAGTCAACATGTCAGTTTAATGTTGGCATTCAGCCGGGTTTTCCATCTTGAGTGGTGCAACGCTTGGGGGAATATAACCTCTCACGGTGGTTTGGTGCACAAGTCTCTTTTGGAAGAAGACGTATTTTGGTGCTCCACACGTCCGCGCTTCAGGGGATCCTGCTGGAGAACGTGCCCGGCTTCCAAAATTCCGAGGCCCACAAGAGGCAAATGCGAAGGGTTCGACTTCGCGGGGCCTTTTCGCCGGGCCTTTTCGAGATTCGTCGGCGAATGTGTTGGTTGCCTGGTGGGATGGTGTGCATGAGCAAAAAGAAGTCCAGCATTAGCAAAAGGGAGGACATTGAGGGGCGTTACTTCAAAACAGAAAACGCGGGAGGACACCCAATGTCCTTTTTTTGGGGAGCAAGCAGTATTGTCCCTGGGTCCATTTGGTGGGGCAGGGGTCTTTAATTACGGTCAGGCCCGAAAAGTTCGGGTAGATTGTTCGACTCGATAGTTTTGATATCGCCTTTCGGCATTGCACATGTCGATTTCCTTTTTGGTCCGGCGCATCATGCCGTGCGCGGATGTTTTGCCAGAACTCTGCTCCAACCAGCCATGCTTCTCCCGTTTGATAGCCTCCTGTCCCGACTGAGGGGTGCACGATTGTCCTTCAAAAGGACCCTCTGGTGGGTCCCATATTAATGGACAGGGCAATTTTAAGATTTCACCGGGCCGATGCACCGAACGAGTCTCGGGACCATTTGTTCGGGCTGCCGCCGCGCTCGTCGCTTCGAGCGCCAGGCTCTGTGCGGCGCTCCGGGAGGCAGGCTTAGAGTGGCAGGAGCTACTGTTGGACCCTCGGAGCGGGGGCCCCGGAACGAATCCAACGGGGGGAAAGATCCGCGTGTTTTTTTCTTGTCTTTTTGTTATTATTCTTTTTTTGTTCTGTTTTTTTTGTTTTCCTTCTTCTTCTTTTTTCCGGTTGCGAGTAAGTAGTATCAACCTGAGTTGGTTGCACCGGTTCGGTCTATTGTAGCTAAATGCCCTAGTGCCAGTTTCCAGATCGACACTTTTGGGAGGAGGTTGCCCTCCAAAATCAGGGCAGTACAAATCAGGTGGCCATGTGGCCTTCTCGTTTTTTCTTTTTTTAGCTCCCTGGTCCCTTTTGACCGTCAAGCCGAGGTTTCGGCTTCCCCAACACTCGGCAGCGCTTCTACCTGGTAGCCACGGCAGGGCCTGTGCAACTGGAGGGTTGGATTGGCAGAGTTCAGACTGGGCAAGCAGAGGGATTCCTTAAAGTGCTCAGTTGTTCAGTGGCACCCATTATTTTTCCCCTTTTGTGTTGGTGGCTGCCCCACTAAAGATGGTCTTCCCCAAAAAGGGTTGCCCTTTTTTCCCAAAAAATCACTGAACAACCAAGAGTGCCAACCTTCAAAGGCCAGGGAGACAAAAGGAAAATGAGGCAGCCTGCACCTGGGCTTCTGGGGGCGGGGAATTGGGTTGGCGCCAGGCGTGGTAACGAAGCTTCCGGGTCAAAAGAAACAGGTACCCTGTTTCTTGGGGACTGACAAAATATCGCACCAACAGGGGACTCACTTGCACTCGGGAAGACAAGTCCAAGCGCAAAACAAGAAGTTTCCCAAGGTGCTGGGCTTTACACTTGTTGGGAAGACCAGCTTGTCAGAAAACACACACATGGATCTGCACAGGATACGTCCAGAGACCGCTTGCTTTACACGCCCATCCAGCCACCCACCACCCACCCACGCATGCACGCAGGTTCTCAAAATATGTAGAAATGGTTGGTTTCCTGTTGGCTTCCCTTGAAAAAGCCAACCCACCGGCGGTCCGAATCCCCCCGCCCTATTGCAGGCGGCGGAAGTGGACCTGGAGGAGCTCGGTGGCGTTCCAGTGAGACCTGTGAAGGACTTCTTGCGGCGCCTTGGAGATGAAATGCGCCAGGATCAAAACGGGTACACCGCATCCAACTAACATGGCACCTACACGGAAGATCAGTTTCCTCTTGTGTGGATTGTCCGACACATTCCGATCAGGTCGAACATGCAAACCTATGCAAAGACAGCTGCTAAGCTGCTAGGCTAGCCACACAGTATTTGCAAAGCAACATGCCCGTGCAAATCAGGTTTTTATTTGCTGAACATGCCAGGTTCTCGAGGGTGTCATCACAGGCAACTTACTCCCCAAGTTCCTGGGCGTTACACGACACATTGCCATCTTGAGTGGAAATCAACACGTGTTTGAGCTCACTTTGTTCTCAATCCACTCGAGGCAGGCATCGCACTTGTACTGGAGCCAAACCGTACAGGGGAGTAAGACTTGCATTCCTGGAGTGTGGATGCATGATCAAACGCAGGGACAGCCCTGAAATGAAGCGGCACACCCGCCAAGACCCACCCGGAAGCCAGGTGGCAGATATCCACCCGGAAACAGAGGATTGGAAGCCAGGTTGCAGATACCCACCCCAAAACAGCGGATTGGAAGCCAGGTTGCCAGATATCCACCCGGAAACTGTCGATTTTTCGTTCCCGCCAAAAAGGTCAACCACTTTCTGCGGAGGAGTCGTTGCAGCCACCGGGTCCCGCCGTCACCCCCGCCCCCCGCCCGCCTTCGGTGCGAGGCCTGTGGCGCCGGAAGACTTGGAGGCCCTGCGGGTGCCCAGGCAGTTTCTGCAAGAGGCGCACGAGGAGAAGTGGCAGCTGGCGCCTCGAGCTGCAAGCCGCAAGTGCTTGGCTTGACTTTTATTGTCTTAAGATGTTTTTTTTTTGGCCCTGTTGGTTTTAAAGGGAACCTATCACTATTGGATATTTTTTGGTATTCCCAGGGGGCTGAAGCAAATGGAAATTCACTGTTGTTGGCTCCGTTCACTGTTTTTCTTTGAGGGGGGGGGGCGGAAAACAAAACATGTGTTTGCTGCCATACCCAATTTTTGCGCGGGGGAAACAGCGTTTGATTTGCAAGCCCATACCAAGGGTTGTAAAGACTTTGCGATGTTACTTTGCTTGGGGGTTCAGATCGGGCCAGATCGATGAGATCGATGAGATCGGGCCCATCTGGAGGGATCCACTTTTCACTGGAAGCCAAGAAGGAAAGCCGAAATCCATAGGCTCCAAATCAAAGTCTTTGGGCGTATATCCGAAGCAACTTCGAGCAGTGCTCCTGCCTGACAACAAACCTGAAACCAAAACCTCACTTGCCCAGAGCGAATCGGCCTTTTGACCTCTTGGCTTCCCAGTTTTTGGCACCGCTTTTCGCTTCCCAGTCGTTTAGGTTCCCAGTTTTGGGTTCCCAGTTTTTGGCAACCATTTTGAGGCATGGCCTGTCTCAAAAGGAGATCACCAATAAAATGTCCAGTGCCCAGGTCCTTCAGAGGCATTGGGCCACAGGCTCCTTTTTCTAAGGCTGAGATTCGGCCGGCTCATGGCTTGCCTCAGCTGGGGGTACGTGTGCTGAGGATTCCCGCCAAGCCAAGGCGAGTTAATATAGCCACCAATGGTTACCTTGCTAAGTGTCCAGAAAAGAATCTGCTTTTATTTCCCCCCATTGGTTTTCAAGGGAACCTTCCACTACCGGAAATATATGTTTTTCCATGGGACTTAAACAGAAATGAAAGATGGAGATGCTAGGTGTTGCCTGGCCCCAGGATGTGGCCACCGGTGAGTCCTTGGCAACGAAGACCTTCACCTCCAGCTACGGCAAGGCAATCTTTTGGGCGGTTCGTGGCGGCTCGTCTTTTTGTAGGGGACCCCCAAAAACAGCTTCCCTGTGGTTTGGAACTAGAGGAAACTCCATTTCGGGGACCCTTTTTGGGCTCCATCTTGCAGGGGAGTGTCACAGAAAGTTGGTAACCTGGATTCCTTACCTCCAGGGTTTACAGCAAGGAAAACTGCCTGGTTATATAGCAGCGGCTTGCCTGGAAGCCCTAGGCTTCATCAAAAGCTTTGGAGGTCCCTGAGGGGCTTTGGTCTCGGTGCCGCTCTGGGCCGTTCTTCAAACTGGGATCTGCGGAAGAATGTGGGCATTTCGGGGCTCGGCGCGGTGAGGTTGGGCTGGAAGTGAAGCAATGGAGGGGGGTCCCCACCTTTTCTTGCTGGGGGGTGCGCTTTGACGAACGTTTTGTGGGTGACTCTAGAAACTCACTTTGACCGATTTAGTTTCTGGGTTGGTGCTTTGGCCATTCCTCAAAGATCTCGCAGTCGATTACTTGAAGAAGGCTCGCTGAATGAATACCGGACTAATAGGCTGAGTTCTTTGAACCGATCTCCCTATGCAGTTCCAAGCTGAATCTTCGAGAAGTCAAGTTTAAGGTTCACTGAGGAAACCAGAAGCCGATTTTGAGGTGAACCCAGAATTGTCAACTGGAAAGGGAAGCCACAAGTTGAACAGGCCCCCTACTAATTTGCCCCAGACCCTCAATTCAGCACGCGCTTTTTAACCGGGGCCACAGGGACATTCTAGATGCAGCCTCGTTTTGCCATGGCCAGTTTCAGGTGGAATCGCAGGTCAAACAAACCACGAGCTGAGAAGTTCCGGGGTCGTTTTTGGTCCACAGTTTCTGGGGAGAATGTCTACTGGTCCGTGTCATGAGCTTGGGAAGTGTTTGGAAACGTTAGCTTTTCTTTCGACAAGCTTGGGGTTGGATTACCACCCGCCAACTTGTTTTTTTTGGTACAAGCGCCCTTTGCGTACGCTGAGGCTTCATGGGGTCGTTTTGCGTGGGACGGCCCGGCACGCGGAGGTGGGCTATGGCGCGGAGGGCCTGAGTAAGGCGGGGCCGCTGCTCGACATGCTCGGGAAGGATGGCAAGCGCTTCAGGCGGGCTTGGCTGAATCGGGCCTGGCGTGATACGAAGCCTGAAAGCAATGACCAAGCCGCAAGGCTCTCAGAGCGTCAATCGTAACGCTGGGGTCTTTGGAGCACCCTGCTGAAAGCTATGGATTTGGGCTTTCCCCAGCTAGGCAGCTAGGCAACAAAGGGGTGGCTTGGGCAGCTTTCCGAGAGGCTTCCGGAGGTTTCCAGGAACTTGGGCTGCTGGGGGACACCTGGGCTTGTTTGCTTTTGGGCTTGGATCATTTTAGCGGTGAACAAAAGTCTGGACTGTTTCTGACCCATCCATTCAGGAAGTGTTTCATTGTCAAGAACTGCCAAGCCCTGCAAGAAAAAATGGTTCCACTTGTTTTTTGCGATCTTTGGCGTGGCTGGCTGCAAATGGGCAGGCTCCATCTCCAGACCAAAGCCTGAGCAGCCCTTCCGTAGGTCTTTGCCACCGGAGCACTGGGACCATGTGCGGTACTTTGCGCCCGAGGATCGCGGAGTCGGGCTCCGAATCCGGGGATCTCGCCTTTTTGGGGTTGAGCCTTTGGCTCAAAATGGGCCCCTTGTGCGGAGGGGAAGAAGGGAGCTGGGGAGAAGGCTTGCCCTCCAACGTGGAACCTGACTGCGGGGCCCTTTGGGTGCTAAACAGGCCATTCACCCGTAGTTTCTTTTGCCCCAACAGGAAACCAAAGGGGCAGGGGTATGAATAACTAAACTGGGGTGTGGGGTGCGAAGAAAAGACAAACTTAGCCCAAGAACACAGGAGCGCACTACATTAGTAGTGTGTTTTGGCCCTGAGGAACTTGTTCAAAGTATCCAGACCTTTTTAGCGCTTGAGGTTGACATGGGTTTGTCTCCAGTCCCTACCTTGAGGGAAAACTCATCACACTGGTTTCCAGTTTCAAGGGGCACGTTTTGGGGGGAGCCCTGTCCCCATGTATGCCATGTAGACGCTCCAGGAGAAGCCTTTGCATCGGGGTGCGTGCCATCTCCTGGGCCAAGTGTCGGCAAAGCGTCGGTGTTGGCCGTCTTTGAATTGCCAGACTCAACTAACTCACCTCTTTTTCATTCTCCCTTTCCATCCTCAGATTTTAAAGGGATATCGAAGGCCGGCCTGGTTTCGGTGGCCAACCTTTGATCCTTGAGCTCTCAACAAAACGGAAAGCTTGGAAAGGCCTGTCCAAGTCTTGGCTCGTGGCGAACGGTTTGAGCCTTGGACTTCGTTGAGAGATCCTGGCAAGTGGTGGTGCGGGTCACTCCAAGCGCAGTCATTTGGAGGTTTTCACTTGGCCCAAACCCCTTTCAGTTTTCCGCTTTTGGCCCATTTTGAGTCATGGAATCAAAGTGGACCCTTTCTCCCTGGGTCTTTTGGGCGACTCCGTTATGGTCTGTTCCTTCTCTTTTTGTTTGCCAGGAGTTGGCCCTCCTCATGGGATTTCCAAACGCATTCGCCCTGCCGGAGATGTCCACGAGGACGGAGCATGGCGCATGGGTCGATCCTTCGCCCAGTCCTGATCTTCCTAAAGGGAAGTTATGAGATTCCAACTTGTTGGGGGTGGGTATTGAAGGGAAGCCAACAGGAAAGCCGAAGTTGTTTGTTTTCTTTTTGTTTTTTCTTCTTATTTTTTTTTCAGGGGGGGTAACTATCCGTTTTTTCTTTGCTAGCATGTGTTTAGTTCTTTGCCTTCAGCACCAATTCATGTTGGGGGTGCAAGGTCGTTTGCTAACAGACTAAGGGTGGGCCGGGCCAGTTTTTGACAAGCTCGTCATGAGGGCTTGCCTTGGGCCCTTGCCTACGTTGGCAAGAATCGAGTTATTCTAATGGCTTGTGTCCGTACTGCGTGCTGAAATTGACAATGTTGTTGGATTTGCCCAACCGTCAACCAACAGGAGATGGATAGTTTCCAGTTGTCCAAACTCACTATTTAGCAGCAAGCTTATTGCTTGGAAAGTGGCCTAAACATTTGTTTGTTTGTCAGTCCACTTAGGCGAACCGAGATCGACACAAATTGGACCCCAGATGTGCAACACAACGAAGGCGGAGTTGATTTCGGATGTGTTTTAGTACGTTGTGTGGTTTCTGTTGTTTTTTTGTTTGCAAGCATTGTCCTTGGGGCATTCCTTTTCTGACACTAGGGCTTGGAAACGGTTTGCAGATGCTTTGCCCTTGGCACGTGGCTGTGGACCGGCTTCTGAATTTCACACTTGTTGTTTTCGAGTTTCCTTGCTGGTGCTCAGTAGCGAAGGCTGACCATGTGCTTTTTCGCCCCCTGAACAAAACAACTAGTCATGGTTGTTGTTGGGAAACATTTTGCATGTTTGCTTATTGTGGTTTGGTGGGGAATCCCCACTTAACTGCTAAAATGTCAATTTTTGACCCCCTTCCAACGTCAACCAAGTAGTTCTCCCACACACACACACACACACACACACACACACACACACACACACACACACACACACACACACACACACACACACACACACACACACACACATACGGACATAATAAGAACAACAAGGCACATCTTCGTTTCAGCCAGCGGAAGCTTTGGCGCCCTGGCGCTTTTTTCCCCCGAGGACGCAGTGGCGGCTGCTGGGGAACTCGGTGAACGTGGCGGTGGTCACCGCGCTGCTGCGGCGCCTGCTGCGCGCCCTGGGGGAGGCGCCGGAAGCCGCGGAAGCGGCGGCTTCCGCCGCGGAGCGGCCCCTGGGCCGCGTGAGCGCGTGAGGGGCGCGCGCCGGAGGACTTCTAAAGCTTAAAGATGGAGGTTGACTCACTTCATGAGTTGATCGACTTTGCAACTTTTTATGCTTTTGAGGTTTGGACCATTTCAGTAAACAGAAAGCTTGGGCTTCTGTTGGGCAATCCACTTTAAGTTCCTATGCGGGTTCTCCCCCCGCTTCGTGTCTCGAACTTGCGGGGTCCTCAGAAGCCGCATATGCCGACCTTGCCGTGCCGGAGCCAAAAAAGATGCGGCGGCGAGCTCTCGGCGGCGTCTCGGACATGTCCCGAAACCAGCGGTTTCTCGACGCTTCGGAGGGCAGTTTTGGCCAGGAGTTTCTGCGGACCTGGCCGTGGACACCTAGAGTCCATTTTGCAAGAACTCTACTACCCTAACAGACCCTAACTCTCCACCACGAGGGGGACACTTTTGTATTCCATGTCAGTGTCTTTAAACGTTGACTATTTGGTGGTGAGTTTTTCCAAGGGAAACCAGCTGGAAACTGGTGATCTTCCCCAAAAACATGCGCGACACACGACCGCGTTTCGTCTCCTGAGTTTTGCAGGTGATGGAGGTATGGCACGTGGAGAACAGCGAGAATTACCTTAGGTATTCTGTGAGGAGCGGCCGGAGTTGTCGGTGGGGCTCCTTCGTCCTTGCCAGTGATTTTGTCAATGTCTTCAACGCGCATGTGTACGGGGGCAATTGCACACTAATTGGGGAGTTTTCAGGGTCCAGGTGCCTCAGGGCTGTCGCGAGTTGTTGGCCCCGCCCACCTTGGTGACCTTTAGGGCTCAAAGTCATCCTCTCGGGTCGAAAAGGCCAAGGGGCCATGGAACAGTCTGCTGACAGGTCCCATCATGCACCGCCCAGTGTTTAAGCCCTTCACCTTCAGACACGGTAGATGCCAAAGCATAAAGGATGGCAGCCAAGAACGTGTCAAGGTGAGCCAGGAGCATGGTTGTTTGTGTGTTTTTTCCCCCGCGGCTATTGGATTTGTTGCCTCGCGTCTCCTTTGATTCCCGTTGCGTGTCGCTGCATGCTCCCAGCAGCTCAAGCGGCTTCCCTTGGCTCGCGCAAAGAGGCAACGTGTCAGTCTGACGGCGCGAACACGCAGATCATCTGTTTCAAGGGTTGTTCAAGGCCTGGTCAGCTTTTCGCTGCTCAACGTGTTGGTTTCTTGATCGAACACCCCAGGGCTCCCCCAAGGTGTTTTTGGAACCCGCGCCACGTGCCATAGCAGGGCGTTCTCGGGCGCTTCTCGGGGCTTGTCAGGAGGGAGAAGATCAAGCAGGAGCTGGTCTCCTCGCCGGCCAGCGGCACCGCTTCTTCGGCTGTCCGTCGGTTTTCCGGGCCTGGAGCTTCTGGAGGTCCCCAACTTTTTTCGGGTCACCAGTCTAGTGGCAAACAAGCGGCTTTTTTTTGTTGGGAAAAGAGACCGGCTTTGACTCGGTTTGTTTTTTCAAAGTTCCCTTCGGACACAAACGATTGGTTGTAAAGGGCAAGAAGATTGCAGACCTTCGCAGGTCGCGGGCAAAAGAAGGGCATCCAGGCATTGAACAGGGGACCCCTAAGAAGGAACAACTCATTTTCTGAATGGGTTGGCCAAATCAAGTCCGGCGTGTTTGTACTTCTGGCGAGATCCTAAAAGTATTGGCCGCAGCAACACGCTGCCCACCCAGGCCACTTCAACATTTGCCAAATCTGATCAGATGTGGTTGTTTACGGCAACCAGGAACCCACAGAAACTCGGGAAGCGTCATGCCCCACGGAAGTCTGGGACCATTCTGGGCAAATTTCAAGAAGTGCGTGTCTTTGTTTTAGGGATGCTCCAAAACGGCTTCGGTTCAATTAAAAGGTCCACCCATACTTTGCAAACCACCAAGTAGGGGACCTTCACGGGTTTCAGCCCAGAATCGCTCATACCCATCAGCGAACTGGATATGACCTATGTCAGGAGGGCAAAAGTTGCCTTTCCAGGTGCTGGCAGAAAAATGCCATCGGTTTCTCTGGCCTCGAGGGGCACCCAAGGAAAAGGCTTACAAAGGCCAAACAAAAACGTTCGCAAGAAAGCATTTACGTTGTTGGCTAAGCTCGAATGAAGCTAAACATAGCTTTCCTATTTTCTGGCCAAAGAAGGCTGATTAAGGTCCAATTCCTGCGAGCATGGTAGTCACCTTGATTCCTGGCTGTTGAGGGGTCGTCAAACTGGGGGTGGGGAGCCTTTGTGGTATCCCCTGGAAAATGGCGGCACCAGAGTGAAAAAGGGGAATATAATTTTTGACGCACCCTTTTTTTGCTTGAGCTTGAAAGGCTGTTTGTTGGGCAAATGTGTGTTGTCCTGTTTGACTGGTGAACGTCCATGAACAACCCAGCACTCTTGCAGAATCTTTGGGAATAGCATGCTGGCTAAGGAGCTGGATGATGCCTGTCCTATCAGGACCAAAGGTGTGTCGCTGAAGGCTTGGCAGGGAGACGTTAACTTCATGGGTCGACACTTGCAGGTCTTCTGTTTTCTTCCCCTTTCATTCACTGTGTCAGCCACTGAAATGGCATCAGCCCCCCAAACAGCTTGGTTCTTTAACTTGTGGCTGATGGTAAAGCTGTTTTGCTTGATTGTGGCGGTGTCCTACGCATGATGGACCCCCCCGCCACTTTGAGCAGCCCAGACTTGGGATTTGAGCGCGGGCCCTATTAGACAAATTCCCCAATGGGTCTCACTCAGTCAGTTCCTGGACTCTATGCCTGTTGAGAGGTGATTGTTTTTGAACCAACCCTCTCATCAAGTGATAAAGGAGCTGGTTTGTACAGTCTTCCGAATGCAGATGAAGTTGATATTTGTCCAAATCCTCACTTGTTCTGCCATCCACACCTGAATGATGAAGGTTATTGGGGGCCAGTCTGCTGGTGAAGAGGTGCAGACCAACCCCTTATGATTCTTTATATTGTTTTGGGAAGACTCCTTTGATTCCGGGTGTTGAATATGACTCCCTTGCAACCAGATCACATCAACCCTAGAGCCTGTTTGGTTCTCGCCTCAGGCAGGATCCCAACAATGTTGTCAGCATCCCCAGTGTCAGTGACAGGTGATTTCTTTCCAGATTTGGTGAGCTGGTGAGCATCCATAAACCATAGGTCTATGGATTGGCTTCCTGGCACCGTGGGTGCATTGAAAGGAACACTTCAAAGTGGTCATTTTGGTTGGGTTTTGTTGAAGCTTGAGAGGCGGCAAGGAGTTCCATCAGATTCCATTTGACTTTTTTAGTCATGGATCTTTCGACAGGTGTTACAGACCCCCACTACCCCGTTTTTTCGGGGGTAGATCCGGATCCGCATGGGTGTGTCTGTTTTCGGGGACCTCGTGAAATGGGCGGCTTTCCGGCCTGTTTGGCACCTTCGAGGGACAGCCTCGAAAGAAGCCATCCCATCTTTTTTTGGTGCCAGAAGGCAAACCAGCGGAAGACCGACATGGGGTTGCCGCCGTTTCCCGGGTTCCAGAAAAACCAAAGGTGGCCCAAGTCGCCAGGGCCTGAAGTTTCATCCCGACGAGCCGGTGGACATCGGCATCAACGAAGTCTGGCTCTGGCACGGGCACCTCGGCTGACCCAAACCGGGTAGCCTCCAAGCCACCCGCCCAAAGCAAAGCTGTTCGTCGGGTGGTTTCCCTTGATTTGCTGGATGGAAAAGAGGTTCCAGAAGGCGAAAATCTCAGAATTTCGACTTGCCCGGGGGGGCAAGTGAGCCAAGTGGTGGTTTGGTTCAAAGTAGTTTGGCTTAATTACTCGCGGGTAAAAAGGACGCTGCCCCGAACATCACCACTCCGAACCGCTATCCGCCAAAGCCTGACTACCTCACCTTGATTCAGAGGCTATGGATTCAGAGCTGTGAAACAGCGACTTGCCTTGGGGTGGACCACCATTCCCATCCCCAGAACCAAGATGGCACCTCACCGGGCGTCTTCCAGGTATCCCCGCGATGCCTTCTGTTTTTTGTTTTGGGTTGGGGGTTAGCCTTTCTTTGGCTCCAAGGCTTGGGGAATGAACAGGGGCTCGCCATGATGGAGGTTCTCTTTTGGGGATCTTTCGGTTTTTCGGCAGGTTTTGGGATTGCGGCATTTCACAGGCCTTGTGGCTGGGGGCAAGAACGGGGGAGGGGGAGGGGGGGGAGATCGGGAGATCAGAGCACGGCCAGAGGAAACTTGACGCGATCTCCCGTGCGAGGACGAGCAAGGCGGGTGCCGAGGGCATCACGGATACCGACTTCAAGCTGAGCATGGCCGGCTCGGCAACCGGGCGAGAAATAGGAATCCGCAAAGGGCGATTTGTCTCTAGGTCCCGCAATCAATTGGTGCCAACTTTGACCGTTTCTTTTTTGGTTGGGAGGGTTCCCCTACTAAAATAGACTACAGTAAAAAGGGTACCCTTATTCTACCCTCTCTACTGGAGGACCTAGGTTTAGCTGTCTTGACTGCTATTGGGTTGGATCTTTAGACTTTAACTTTCTGGGAAATCAAGGGGTTTTCCATTAAACCCGCAACAGTTAAGCTTTGTGCAGAGGGGTCAAAAGCAACCAAGTTGTCTAGCAACAAATTGGTTTAGATTCAGATGGTACATCCTGAGGTACGCGAGAAAGGTATGCACGGGTTGGTGAAGGTTGACTTCAAGGGAAGCACAAGGCAAAAATCGGACAACTATCTTTCACTCCCTGAGTTCATGGACTTCCTCCTTTCTTTTTGTTTGACCATTTGAGAGGTACACTGGTAAACAACAAGCTTGGATTTCTCCATGTTGGTTACATCCCCTGACCACCTGAAGCGAACGGTGCCAGCTGCTTTCAGCCTGTAGCATGGACTTGACAAAGCACATTGGGCAGGGAGCCGAAAATGTTTGATTCGTTGGCTACCACTCCCTTTCTTGATAGGACAGCCCCGAACCGGACGTACTCGGCCAAATCTGCACCAAAGAAAGCCACTTCCTTTCTGGAATATGGCAGCCTTGGTTGAATATGTCCAGCGAGTCCTGACACAAAGCTCACACTGTCTGCCGCTGGCAGC